AACATATACCTTTCCAAGGATTTGTGGCCTTTATCCTGTTCAAATGGAGATTGCAATCCCACCCGTTAGTATTTCGTCCATATTTACTTGAGATGACAACTGTCCAAAGAGCATTGGGTTCTTTCGGAAATCTCTAGAGCCATTTGCCTAGGAGAGAAGAATTTTTCTCTTTAAGCTCTCCAATACCCAAACCGCCTTCCTCTTTTTGGTCTGCATACTTGTTTCCAGCTGACTAAATGGTTTCTCTTATCTCCACCACCTTCCCAAAGAAATTCCTTTGAAGCTTCTCAATCTGATTTCTGACTTTAGACGGAATCTGGAATACAGAAAGAAAGTAGACTGGCAGATTTGATAAGGAGGCCTTTAAGAGAGTAAGCCTACCCCCTTTTGAGAGATAACATTTTTTCTAAGTCGATAGTTTCTTCTCACATTTCTCCATCACTGGTCTCCAGAAATTGAGGGATTTTGGATTCCCTCCAAGAGGCATCCCAAGGTAGGTAATGGGRAGATTCTCCWCTTTGCACCCCAACAAAGATTTGAAATTTTCTAGAAGTTCCACTTCCACTGAGTTAATAACAACAATACTACTTTTGCAAAAGTTAACTCTCAAACCAGTGACAATCTCGAAACATTCGATTACCCTTTTAGTGTTTGTGATGTTGGTTGAGGAGGCATCAAAGAATAGGATTATGTCGTCGGCGAACTGTAAGTGAGAGATGTGAATTTTATCCCTACCCACTTCAAATCCTTTCACCAAGTTGAGAAGAATTGACTTGTCAAAGAGATAGTTAAATATATCCATCACCAAAGTGAAAAGTAATGGGGAAAGAGGGCAACCTTGTCTTAGACCCCTACTAGCCTTGAAATAACCTTTCGCTTCACCATTTATCAATATTGAAAACCAAAGAGTGCCAATACAACCTTTAATCCACCTGATCCATTTTCTCCCAAAACCTCTTAGCCTTAAGCAATCAAGAATGCAGTCCCAATCCACTTTGTTGTACGCCTTCTCTAGATCAAGTTTCACAAGGACCCCCAGGATCCCAGAGGATTTTTTGTCTTCCACACACTCATTTGCAATAAGAATGTTGTCCACAATTTGTCTTCCTTTTACAAAAGCAAACTGATTTGGGAAAATTAGATCTTCAAGGACTTCTTTAAGTCTGTTTGCCAGAACCTTCGCCAAAATTTTGTATATGCTCCCAACCAAACTTATAGGTCTAAAGTCTTTAACTTCCAAAACTCCCCCTTTCTTAGGGATGAGGCAGAGAAAGGTAGAGTTAAGGCCCTTGTTAACAATGGCAGATGAATGGAAATCCCTGAAAAACTCCATGAGATCTGACTTTACAATTTCCCAACACTTTTGGAAGAAAAGAATAGGGAAGTTGTAAAAATGGTGGCAAGTTGCCACCAGTGTTTTAAAAGGCGTGGGAGGTGTATGCCTGGGCGCACCTCCAAGCGAGGTGCTCCCAAAACGCCCTGAGGCGTAAGCCAGAGGCGCTAATACCTCTGAGGCCTACACCTCTTGCGCTTTTTTCATGAGGCGTGCTAGAGGCGTATGCCTGTTGCGCCTCATGCACACCTGATATGAAAATACAAGAAAAAAAAAAGAAAAAAGAAGAAAAGGAAAGGAAAGGAAAAGAAAAGAAAGGGAAAGAAAAGGAAACGAAACGAAAGAGAAGAAAAAAAGAGAAAAGGAAAGGGAAGGGAAGAAAAGATAAGGGGAAAAGAAAATGGTTTGCCCCCTGCCCCTTCGACAAGGCCCCCCTTTGAACTACTGTTATGCATCTTTATTCTTCTTAATATAAAAGATTTTTATTAAAGATAAAGAAAAAATGAGATCCCCCCTTCCTCTTCATCCTCCTCCTAACCCCCCTCCTCTTAAGAAGGCTTACGCTGTGTTCGGGAAGCTTACGCCTCACGCCTCTAGGTAGTCGAACGCCTCGCATCACGCCTCCGCGTTTTAAAACATTGCTTTCCACCATGTTGCAACCTTCAATGGTAGATTAGAAGTATTGTAGAATGTAGTGATAATATTAATATTAGTTTTGGAATTGGTGCTGGCAAGTTGCAACTTGCAAGTAAAACTGCAACTTGTAATGTTCTCAACTTATTATATTTTTTTATATAGTAGGAAATATGGTGAAGGCCCAGGATGTTACATGGGAACATTGTGTCAAAGTTGATGAAAATAACAATTTGCATGTGAGATGCAATTACTATTGGTGGAGAATTTTGGGGAGGTGTCTTTAGGATGAAACACCACCTTGCACGCACAAATAAAATATTTAAGAGTGCAAAAAAAAAAAAAAACAGAGGATGTATGTGAAAACTGAAAAGTTTAAGGCATTTTTTGAAAGTAAAGAAGGGACAAAAAACCAGAAGGAGATAAAAATGTATGAATCCAATGCAGAGGCCAATTTGTGGGACTTCTATTTTGATGATCAACTAGAAGCATAGGATCCCAAAGGAAAGGCAAGGTTCATGCACACTATGATTCTTATGTGTATAAAAAGGGGGAAAGAGTCATCAACAAGAAACTTCGAATCAAGTGTGTTAGAAAGGTGATAAAGATAAAGTTTGTCAATCCATTACTCAAATGTTTACACAAATGATGATGATTGATATTTTTTGATGGATAAGGCTTGTTAATTCTTAGTTTTCTAGTTATGGCTTATGACTTATAAAGAATATTTATAGGGCTACATGTATATTTGTGCATAGTGGGGCACTCTTTTGTATATTTTGTACAAGGGACCTAAATAGTATATTGGATTGCCCCAATCATCTTTTGTTGACTAAAGTCTTGGGTCTATTGTCATTGTCATGTAAAGTTCATTTTTTTATCACCAAAACAAAGAGAAAATATCTAATTAAAGAAGAAAGAGAGCAAATACAACAAGAATTTGTGAAAAATACACAGTCAAGCCCCCCATAATTGTTACCACTGTGCCCAAAACAAATTTTGCTTCTGAACCCCTTGCTTAGCAAGACTATCTGCCAAGCTATTAGCAGATCTTCTATTCCATCAAACTTGAATCTTCAGATCCATTAGAGCCACTAGAAGCGCTTGAACAAATTCTTAAGCTTCCAAGTCACCCCTTAACCTTTTCTCAGCCAGTCTACTACAATCTGAGAGTTTCCTTCAATGACCAACTTACTGACGCCCATTTCTTTGGCTTTCTCCACCCCAAAAACTGCTGCTAATAGTTCTGCTCTTACTGAATCCCCATGTTCAATTGGTCCAGAAAACAAGGCCTGGATAACACCACTTTTATCCCCGAAAAGCCCTCCAATACCTGAACGTCCCGAATTACCCAAACTGCTGCGTCAAAATTCAACTTCATTGATCCCTCACCAGGGGGAGACCAGACCTCCAAAATTTTTTGTTTTGAAGCGGAAGAAGCAGCAGTGGTTCCCCAATTTCTGACAAAGTCCTCCACCTTGAAGGCAGAGAAGAGCATTTTGACCCAGTGTGCCACTCTAATAGTAATAGTTTTAATAATTGCTTCCAAGCACCTCTCCACTTCCTCAAAAATTCTCCTATTTCTTTCTTCCCACACTGTCCACACCACTGTTATTCTAGTACATCTCCATAACAGTCTACCCCTCCTTTTCCTGCTTCTCAACACTGCAAGGCTAAACAACCGCTCCAAACTGTCAGTTTATCACTACTACTACTACCTATTTATATACTTATATGGGGGTATATGGGTTAGAAAGTTTGTGCGAAGTCTTTTTTTTTTTTGAGAGGTTTAGGTATATTTTAGAGTTCTTTACTTTTTAGAAAATCAGAAAAAAAAAATCTTATGATTTATGATATGATCCTATTTAAACCCCTTTACGATTTACTATACGATTACAATTTTCAGAACACTGACCCACATATTTTCAAATTTAAAGGAGGTTGGTCTAAAGTTTATCTCCTTGGATTGTAGAAGGATCTGCCAAAGGCCCAACAATCTGAGATTGATCTAGCCAGAGTTTTCACTCCCACCTCCCCGAAATGATCATCCCAACCAGAAGTAACAAGGAACCTGACCAGCTTGAAGCACACAACACTTTCTTGCAATTGGACCATGTATATTGTGCATTCAACAATGGGATATCCCTCGACGAGCTTTCATTGATGAACTCATTGAACTTTCTCATAGTTTTCAAGATTCTAGAAGACCCCATATTCTTTTCATCACAAAACCAGATAGCATTAAAATCCCCAACTACACACAAAGCCCCTTCACATACTCTACTTAAGCTAAAACTTTCCACCCAAAGGTTTTCTTTCTCTATACAACGATAGACCAAAGATTTTCCACACACTCCACCTCCTAAACCTCCCACGCCAAGAGAATCCCACCAAAAGCACCTATTGAGGGTAAGAAGACCCACTTTTTGTTTCTTAATCCCCAAATACTCCTCAATCAAGCATCATTTACCATTTTTAATTTGGTTTCTTGCAGCAGGACCTCCGAAGGTTTAATTCTCCTTTAAAAATTTTTTAAGATCCTTCTCTTCCTCACACTACCTAATCTCTTACGTTCCAACTGAACATCTTCATTGGAAAACAACGGGTCCTTGAGCTTTGTCTCCTCAACTACCAATTTACCTTTCCTTCCTTCTTCAAATCACCTTTTCCTAGTTTTATTTGTCCTGTTTCCGCCCCCTTGTTCAACTAATTTGATACCAATCTCCTTAGTAAACCCAACTAACTAACTATTCTCTCCCCTAACCTTCTCCCCCCCACTTCTACTCTCATCTACAACGCATTGCCTCATTGTCTCCTCCCTCTCTTCTAACATTTCCTTCAAAATTTTCTCCTTCCCTCAAGGCTTCCTCCACATACTCCATCATTGGCCTCCAGATTCCTTCCCCCACTACTCCATCAAAGAGTGACCCTGTTCCTTCCCTGCAAGCTCATACAAGGTATTACAACAAGGAGAAGCTATAGGAAAACCATACTGAGGTAAAGTAGATCATGGAGGTGCTACAAGAAAGCTTACTCTCAAAAGCAAAGGAATGTGCCAAATGTTTGAGACATCATAGAGAGTGATGATATTTGTTGCCTGAGTAACAAGTGTATTCATACAATTAGAATCTTGCATAACACAGCATAAATGTAACTTAAGCAATTCACATGAAGGAACATTGATAATTCAATTATAGTACCGGAACATGGCAAAATTGAGAGAGTTTTCCTTTCACATTTTCATCCAGAGCCTGTACAGGGAATCTAAATTATAAACTCAAGACAATTACCATAATATCAAATGCAATATGTTTGTGCAAACTAAGATATAATTGCTGACAAGAGAGAAAAAGGAAGTGACCTTTGTGCTGCGACACGCTAAGATATTTGGTGTTAATCCCAATCCTCTTAGTCCCCGAACACTGTGCTGAGTTGGTTTTGTTTTCTAAAATCAAAATAGAACCATGCATCTCGTCAGATACAATACAGGACTCCTAGCCAAGGCAGCATGGTGCCAGCATATGCATACTGCATACATCAAGCATATAAATTTCTTTTAAGAGGCTTCTGCACTATCATGTATATGCAAGTAATTCAAATATACCTGTTCACCAACAACATTCAAGACAGGCACAAGACTGACATGAACCAGGCAGAAGTTGCCAGGGCCTAAAAGAGGAATATTTATATTTATCAAAAAAAAAAGAGGAATATTTATACAAAACAAACAAAAAGGGAAAGCATGATTATTTTAGGATCCAAATTCAAACAGATCTCTTTATGCCAGATGATACAAGAAAAGTAGGTAAGAAATCTACTGACCTACACGGTATGAAAATTGGCCTAGTGCCTCAATAAATGGCATAGATTCAATGTCACCTGTATAACAAATGTTATTGTTAGGCTAGTTAAATACAACAACAAATGTAGCCCTACATGATTGTTTTCAGTATACCTATAGTTCCACCCAATTCAATGACACAAACATCAGCTGGGTCTTCTTTCCCATCCACTGGTATCAGTGCTACGCGCTCAATCCACTCTTGGATAGCATCTGTGATGTGAGGGACAACCTATGAGAGAGAGCAGACAAATACATGGTCATGTAAGGAGATGTCAATCCTTTATTAAAGGAAAAGAATAGTCACAAGAACCAATCAAGCATTTAAGACAAACCTGGACAGTTTTTCCCAGATAATCTCCCCTTCTTTCTTTGTCAATAACCGACTTTTATTACATAGAAATAATGAAAAGAAAAGAATAAGTGACTTTAGTAACTTAAAGCTTCAAGCTTGTTTTATTGCCTGATCCTCCAGTTTTAGACTTGTTAAAACAACGATAACCAGAAGAGAATGATAAAATTAAGCAAAATACCTGGTAAATCTTCCCAGTGGTGATATTGTTGTCACGGGTCAACTTGATATCTAGGAACCTTTCATAGTTTCCAAGGTCCAGGTCCACCTTCAAAATACAAAAATAGGACACATTATTTTTATAAACTTTCTATTTCACTAACTTTAGAAAAGCAAAGTGATCAACAAACTTAGAGCCCTACCAGATGATAGGCAATGCATGAAAAAAGCAACACCAACTATGATGATGATAATGATAATGATAGACAAGTAGCACACAACTTGTACAATAGTAAATAGTACCCACCACAAATAGATGGCACCCACTCCATTATTTACCCACGAAGGGAAGTTGTTGACCCTTTAAAGAACATATGCCCCCTTCATAGGTGTTGAAGCGAAGAAAGATAACGAAAAGAACAAGCATATCTAAAACAGAGTTTCCTCACCTCACCACCATCATCTAAGACAAACACCTCACCGTGCTCAAAAGGAGACATAGTTCCTGCATCGGTGTTCAGGTATGGATCTGCATATGTTGATAGGATATGTGAAAATCATTCGTACTTGACTTGCCTCAAACAACATCAGGAATGTAACAGGTAAAAAGAAAAAGAAAAACCACTGAACAGAAGGCATTCCCTCCCCCTCATAATAACACTTGAGTTGAAACCAAGAATAAATTTCAACATAACTTGAAGTTTACCAACTGAGTTTGACAATCTGATGTCAAGAACAAAAAGAGATTAAATAAAATTGATGAAAATTGTTTTAAGAAGCTTCTAGAGGCAATTGATGCATGAATACTGCAAATAAATCAAATCCAGCAATAAAATTTGAGACACCGTCAAACCCAACTAAGAAGTCTCACTAGAACAGAACTCATCCATTTCCAAAGCAACCATTTACACTGAGAATTATCCTCTACTCAAAACTCCATTCCTCATGCCAGTAAATTATTTAAATCATAACCCCCTCAAAAAATGAATAAATAAATAGAAAATATAAATAATAATTTCATTAAAGGGACTTCTTCTGAAATGAAGGCCTTACTGGTGACCTAAAAGATGCTTAACATCATACCTATCTAACCAAGAAATATCAGTATTACATCACATGTAGCAAAAGTTCCATTTACAAAAAAAGAATACCCAAATCACAATTTTTTTCTACAAAAGAAAAACGAAAATGAAATAATATTATTTGGATGATGAAAAATTCGCTTTTTTTAAAAGTAGAACGCACTGGACGTCTCAACAAATCCTTGAAGAACAAAGGAGGGTCATTTATTAAAACATGATCATGCGCAACAAAGCAGAAATATAAAAATAAATAAATAAAACTGAAAAAAAAAATTCTTTCCAACACAAATACCTCTCTCTCTTTCCGATCAAAGAAAAGGCACAGACCTATCTTAATTGAAGTAATGCGAAGTCCACAGGCCTTTAGAACCACTCCAATGCTACTGGCGGTTACTCCTTTTCCAAGACCGCTGACGACTCCACCGGTCACCAAAACGTATTTCATTTTCTTCCCGATTAATAACAAATTAACAAGCACACAAACAAATAGTCCCCCTCTCCTTCTCTCCCCTCCCCTGTTTCACCAATAACAAATACAGACATCAACAAGATTAATTCCAACAAACACATGAAATAACAAGAAGAAAAGACTTGAGCACAACTCTGTAAGCATGCACTACACAAAAACGACAGACCTTGTTACTTACTTCTTTTTTTCTTCTGTATACTCACTCAAAGGACACAATAATAGGTCAAAAGGACTGGTCGGGATGCTGGTTAAGATACCCAGTTCGTGCTTCCTTCTCTCTCTCTCTAATGAACAAACGACGTTACCCAACTTGCATTTCGTCGGAAAGACATGAAAGAGAGAAAGAAATATGACAGGGTGGCGGCAGAGATGAAATTGAAACGGGAGGGAGTGAGGATGAAAGAAGGATTGGATGAGTTTATGTAATATAATATAATATAACCACCCCCTAAAGCCTCCTTTGTCTTGCTTTATTACACAAAATGCAGGTAGAAATGCGTTTCCCCTCCAAATTAAAAATTTTTTTTTCCTGCTTACGCTTCCCCTCGTCTTTCTTTCTTTCTTTCTCTAGGGTTTTTTTCTCTCTTCTCCTTTTGCTTTGGGGTGGTTTTTATTTGATAAGATTTATAATTTTATATTAAAATATGAAACGAAGAATATTTAACCTTGCAGAATCATAATATTGATTTACGGAAAAGTACGGATTCTCTGAATTCCAGCCCTCCGTACGTTCTTTCTCCTTATAAATCACATCTCCCCATGAATTTGACATCAATTCACCGTCAGCATTCTACAGGGCTATAAAATTCTGATATGGGCTGATTGGTCATTCTTTCTTGATTTTACAACTGATTGTATACTCCTCATTCTTAGGTCATAACACTGCTTCTTCTATGATTCTTTTTCCATTAATGACTCAAAAAGACGCTACATCTTTACATTCTCCTTGGTTGTTTAATCTCAAGCTTGGTCTTAGGCTTTGGTTTTCACTGCATCTCTTTTTTTTGGCATAAGGCTGGGTTGGGTTAACTAGTCCCGCCCCTCCTTTGTCACAATGAAGTATGAGGATGGTTGCGTTTGTATGTGATGCAAGTAGATATGTTTATGGGCCTGGTTTACGTCCGGCTTTGCCTTTAAATAAATAAAAAATCATTAGGCCTGGGCCAGTTCATTGGGCTTAAAATTTTGTCCAAGCCCAACTTAGGACAGGTCGGGATGGGTCAGCCCATTGGGCTACCCAACCCATGAACATGTCTAGATGCAAGCATTATTTTCAACCCATTGTTGACCCAGTTGGTTGAACCATTCACTATCACCTGATCTTAATTTCATGTCCAGGCTGTTTAAACCTAATAGTTGGTTAAAAAATGTTGATCTGGTCAAAAATTGTCTAACCCGGGCAGTTCAACTATTGACCCATTCAACCCAGTTATTGGATCGCGGGTTGTACATTCAATGTATGTGTAAACTTCTAGAGGTTATAACCTTGCATTTCGATGTCCAATTGGGGTGATCTTTATTTGATTATGGATAATTTTTGGTATCTATGCATCACAAGGAGCCAAAGGTGCTTTGTCCTACTATTTTCATCCAAAAAAACCTTTTTGGCCTCAATTTACACTTTTTAACATTTTTTAGAAATAAAAAATTAAAAATATAAGTTAGGCATAAAATGTACATATATTATATCTTATAAATAGTTATACATTTTGTATTGATAAAGTACATATTACACACATACAATATAACACGGCCTGATCCATTCTACTTAGCCTGTAGTGACCCACAACCATGGTTTTCAAAACCGGACTAGGCCGGACAGTCGGATTGGAAAAATCGGGAACCAGTCAGGTGACCGGTTTTGGTTTTCCCCAAAACCGTTGATTTTGATCAGCAAACTATTGTTCGAATGGATTTGAACGCTATTTATTTATTTTTTTTTTATTTTTATGTCAAAACGAGCCGACCGTTCAATTCGAACAATCAGACCGTTCAACCCGATAATCGGACCCCTGACCGGTTCAATCTCCGTGTCGTTTTTAAAAACCATGCCCGCAACCCACACTATTGGAAATCAAGAAAATAGAGTGTAATGATAAATGACCACTTTGATTTATTAGAATTTTTATGTTACCAGTTTATTTGTTACAAGTTTTTTTTTTTCTTTTTTCATATCATAATGCATAATTGTTTATTATTGTTTATAATACACAAATGTATTAAGTACCATTTGATGCCATCTAAAATACATGAAGCGGCGGAAACAACGGAAATGTCCATATTTCATTCAAGTGTCACTTTTATTTTATCTAAGCGAAAAAAAATAGTACAAATTTTTTTATACATGACCAGTCCAACCAAATAAAGTTTTTGATTGATAAAGTAAAAATACATATGTAAAACAAAACGGCTCTCCCCATCACAACATACCAAATACACCCTAGATTACCATATTGGAACCAACCAAAAAGTAGAATACGTGGTTTTTAAAACTGGATCGGATGGTTTTGGCCGTTTTTTTATTTTTTGTCAGAATGGGCCCTTCATTCAATTCGAACGGTCGAACTATTCAATCCAGAAATCGGACCCCTAACCGATTCATTATCCGGTTGGATTTTAAAAACCCTGATTGACATGCAAGGTGGGGTATGGAATGGAGTAGTTTATCCAATAAAAGGATAAGGCTGCAATCCAAATAGAAACGTTGAAAACTGAAAGCTTAAGTCGGGGAATTACAAGTCAATATTCTTGATATTATAAGACAAAACATGGTAGGCCATATGTGGGTGGGATATTGAAGATGTGGGCGAAGTTGGTCACTCTCATTTTCCAAATTTACGTTTCAATTCATACACAACTAACCGATATCCTTGTGACTTGTGATAACAACAAAGATACACAGTGAGCATGGGAGAGGTCAATTTAGCGTGTAACATCACTTTAATCCATCTATCAGACTGGAATGAGAAAGATGATCCATTCGCTTAACCGCATCAGGATCGATTGAGTTGTAGAGAGGTCACTGTGGGCTGTGGGGGTAATGATACTTTGGCCCATGAACTTCCATTTGTGATCAAGAGCTACCTTGTATTTTTATATTGCATGCCTTTTATTATTGAGGTTAGCATTTCATCCTTTTTAAATTTGTATGCATGATACCATTTTGTCCTTCCCCTTAAAACCCAAGTTTTGAACGCATATATTTAAAAGAGACGGAAGAGAGTTGAAAGAGATAGATCATCCACCATTATTGGTTTTAATCAATCAAAATGGTTTCATAAAAAACCAACTGATATATGGTGGCTCAGTTGGTGGGATCTCTAACTTATACCAGAGACCTGGTGTAAGTACATGGTCGGCCATTGTACGTCTTGCAATGTGCGACAAGTGCAATAATATATCAACATTTGAACACATGGTAAAGTACAGCACTGTGTCACCGCCGGGTGATGAAAAAACTTATAACACAATCTAATGTCGCACCTAGCTTTTTTATTACATTCTCTTTACTATCCATAGTGTTTTCATCGTATCATCATGATCCCATCGCATCCACTGCACCCTTTATAATTATCACCATCACAGAGACTTGAGACTTGAGACGAGCATGCATCGGGAAAAAGGCAGGAGCTCGAGTTATGAAGTAATTGCATCTGGACACATGGCAAAGCCCTAACTAGTCCAGATGATGTAAGCTAAACTACTTTGTAACAAAGGAAACCTTCCAGAAAGTGGCAGTTTCGAGTAGGGAACTTTTGAGAGAGAAAAGAGTTTCCCTCCTAGGGAATATATATAAATAGGGGACTTCCTAAGGCCTCGCTTGTTCGAGGTGTAAATACAAAAATACACCGGTGTAAATGAAAAACGGTCAGATCTATAAATATAAAAGTTGAACCGCTTCTGTGTTGTTTTTACACTGATGTATGTTTGGATGAACAGTATAAATGTGAATGTATTTTAAACACTTGTTTGGAATTAACATGGGTGTAAAACTACACCCATGCTTGAAAATGCAGCCATTAATATTTTTTGTACGTGTATTCTCCTACTCTGTCGATCCCACCACTTTATCATGTTTGCTTGTGCATCAAACTCTATCGATCAAAGGGCACTTCTCTCTGACATTATGATGTGGAGGTACTTGTTTTACATGATTACCCTAAACATGAATGTGCAGGATATATAGTATATATATCACCCGATCAGCTTCTTCCTCTACAGAAGGTATACACAACAATGCAATATCAGCTAAATTTCTAGCTCCTAAATCAACCTAGGTTAGCACCAACTGCAATTCAATAAGCTATAGAAGTAGTTCCAAATATTCAAGTATAACAGCAGCCAATAAACAGGTTAAATAAAAAAATTAAAAACGGTAAGGAGCTATGATACCATAAGTTGGGGAGGCCAGAGAGAGATCTCAAAAAATGGTCCTAAAATGCATTGTAGGAAATGAGACTGTTAACATGTAGTAGAACACCATCGGCACGGAATTTTCAATCTTTCAATTGAAAAGGTTGTCTTACAGAAACGTAAAACTAGAATCCACACATAGGGCTAAACAAATTGCAGAAAGATGAAGAAGATGAGCCAAATCTAAGATCTAAGAACCAGAATAAAAGAACAAGTTGCAGACCTAAGCACTAGATAATAAATCGTAGATCTAAGAAAACATAGTAGAAAAAAAAAATCTTAAATCTGTTTTTGGGTTGTTTCCAGATCTGAAACGAGTTGACAACATTCCCTCCAGATCTGAATGACAATGTCTAGATTTGTACCTTCTGTTCATTGCAAGATGGAGACGATGAAATGCCTAAGTGTGCCCTCTATTCTGAGATGAGTTCAAACCTATGAGAGAAAGAGAATACACAGCAAGAAAAGAAGAGAAAGAGCAAGGGAGAGGGAGGGATTGGAAGAGAAAGGGGTGACCAGACGGTGGTGGAGAGTGCTAGTCAGTAGTGCTCGACTGTGAGAGAGAGAGGATCAAACAGTGGTGGAGGGCGCTAGTAGGTGGTGCTCGACTGTGAGAGAGAGAGAGAGGATCAGAAGAAGAGACAAAGAGCCGTTGGGTTTTTACACTGTCATTGTTTCGATCGAATTTTACATCGATAATCGAAGTAAATAAATCTCGAAATTGGTTTTTACACCGATCTTCGGTGTATTTTTACACCCCATCCAAATGGCCACAAAACTAGACTGGAGTGTAAAAATACACCGAACCAGGTTTTACACTCCATCCAAATGCAGTCTAAGGAGATCCACACCTTTTATTTCCCAACCTTTTGAGAGTTTCTACGAAAGCTGCCTTTAACCTCCAAAGACTCCCTCACCCTCTTAAATTTAAGATCTAAGATCTGAAACTCTCCTTGCAATCTCTTTCATCCTTCCTTTAACCTTTTCCAAGTGTCATCCATCGTCTTTCAAGTAAACAATTTTTGTGCTTTACCCTAAAGTACTATATTTAGAATCTCTGGTTCCTTTGTCTAATTATAGAGAGCGTAAGAGAGCTATAACCCTGGAAAACAACCTGTCTATCATTCCAAAAGACATGATAGAAGAGAAATAACAACAACTACCCACTA